GGGGCAGAGAGCCTCAGGGGCCATGGGAAGTGGGGATTAGATATTTGTCTCCTGGTTACATGTACATGGTCCTAGGCAGTGTGGGATGCCGAGGGAAAGGTGAATCCGGAGATTTTTCTAAATCTGAGTACATCAGTAGCTGGGCATGGTGGTGCAGGCCTGTGATCTTAACACTCGGGAGGCTGAGGCCTGAGGATTGCCATGAGTTCAAGGCCAGCCTGGGATGCATAGTAAGTTCAAAGGTCAGCCTGGACTACACAGTGAGACACTGTCTCAAAAAACCAAATTAATAATAATAAAATAATAATAATAATAAATAATAATAATTATAAATCTGAGTACATCAGAGAGGAGGTAGAAGGGGCCCAGAGGGAACATGTCAAGGACCAAAGGCAGGCTCACAGCCAGATACCCTCTGCCCCTAGCTACAGGGTCTCCTCCTCGTTAATGCCTCACATCCAACTCCCAGCTTGGATGCAGCCCTCTAATACCAAGTACTGAGGTGCCAGGGGTCCCCCCAGCCAGGTGCAGAGTGGGTGCGCCCTCTGTGGAGCTGGCCCTGTTCTCCCACAGAGACCACCTCTGATAGGAATGTTTGTGGCCTCCAAATTGATATATTGAAGTCCCAGTCCCCATTGTGACTGTATTAGGAGGTGGAAACATTAGAAGTTATTGGATCAGATGAGGTCCTGAGGATGGGGCATCAGGATGGGGTTAGGCTTCTTACAAGAACAGGAAAAAGTCAGAGCACCACACACACATTTCTCCTTGTCCCACCACATGAGGACACAGGAACAAGGTGGCTGTTGACAAGCCAGGAAGTATCTGTCACCAAGAACTGCAGCTGTTAGTGCCTTGATCTTGGACTTCTAGCCTGCAGCGATAAATGGCTATTGTTTAAAACAGCCACCCTGTGTTATTTTCGCCAGAAGAGGGTGAGCTCACTGAGACACCAAATAACAAACATGTGTCCTGGCAGCCTTGGGAAGCCAGCCTTGCAATCCTGCCTCCCTCAGTTTGAAACTTAGGTGTACTTTGGTTTATTTATTTATTTTTGGTGGAACTGAGGTTTGAACCTAGAGCCTTTGCCTTGAGCTACATCCCCAGCCACCTTTTCCTCCTTCTCCCTTCCTCCTTTAAAAAATTTATTTATTTATTTATTTTTAATTCTTTTGGTACCAGGGATCGAACTCCGGTCCTTGCGCTTGCAAGGCAGGTGGTGGAACCACTGAGCTAAATCCCTGGCCCCTCCTTTTTAAAATTTAAATCCTCCTTAAATCACCAAGTTGCCCCAGCCTAACTTTGAACTTGTCATCCTCCTGCTTCAGCCTCCCAGAGTGCTAGGATCACAGGCATGCACCACCATGCCCAGCTAGTTTATTTTTAACTAATGGAATTTTAATTACATAAAATATTAGGAAAAATATGTGGTTGGGTGTCCTGGCTTTCCAATTAGAGTGTTAAGAAATTTTCTGGGGACAAGTTTAGATAAAATGCCTAGCACAGGGTGTGGCATCAGTACGAATGTGAGTGAATGAGTGAGGGTGGAGAGCTGAGTGTTCCAGGACTGCAGAGCTGAAGAGCCCCTTCCCCATTACTCCTAGAACCTTCTCCTTCAGGGACATCCTTCCCAGGCAGCAGGCACTCAAGGGCAAGTCTATGCACAAAGGCCAACCTCTGTGCATGCACAGAGGTGCCCTTTAATATCTGATTGTCCCCCTCCTGCTCCCAGCGGGAGCAATTCTGAAGGTTCCAGTGATTGGCTGAGGTCATGTGGAGGACTCATGGACCCAGGAGTCTCAGCCTGGTCAGGATGGCCCAAGACCAAAGCTGGGAACCAGGTGAGGCTGAGGGTTCTCGGTGGGCTGCAGGTGGACATCCTCTCATCTGCTGTGCCCAGAGGTGTCCCCCACACCCCACCCTGCAAGGGCAGGGAGTCCAGCACCCACCTTGGCTGGGAGGAGAGGGCCTTACTGCTCCCTCTCCTGGCAGAGTGGTGACTGGGGTGTGTCTGGGACTTGGAAACATGCTCAGTAAATCCCCGTCTTGGTGAGCCCTTATCCGGAAGGACAAAGGGCCTGTGTGGAGTGTCTTTGAGTGTGGGCTCCGGGCCAGCACTCTGTCCTACATGGCTGATGGGTGTGGCTGGGGCTTTTCTAGGATTGGTCCCTCTGACCCCTGCACACAGTGAATGTATGCATGCACTCTGCTCCCAAGTGCAGAAGCTGCTGAACAAGTGTGTGTGGTTGGGGGCAGGTGCACATACTTTCCAAGTGCATGGGTGTGAATGTATGTGGGGTGTGTGTGTGTGTCTGTGTGTCTGTGTGTTTGTGTCTGTCTGTCAATATTCTGTGCACCTCTGTGAACATGTGCCTCTCAGGTGCAGTTGGCCAGTGTCCTTGGCCCCTCTAGCCAGGCTGGTAGCTGTCTCTTCCTCCAATCACCCTCCACCCCAGGTGGTGTTTCCTGGAGTCCTGACCCAGACAGACCATCCTTCTGGGCGCCAAACCTTCAAAGCCTGGATTAAAAGCCACTGAGCTGGCAGCAAAGCTGCAAAAATGCCCTTGGGCTGGGCTGGGCTGGACACAATCCTTCTTTGTGCTGCTCTTGGGCCCCTGCCTCAAGGCTGCCCCTGCCAGGGGCATAGGCTCTTCTGCTTCCACCTCCCTGACAGTTCTTGGAGCTCTGGAGGTCTTGTCTGCCCTGGGCTGCTCAGCCTCCAATATGTCCAAAGGCCAGAGGTTCCCTGGGACTGGTGTGGGAAGCTGGAAAGGCAGCTGAGGGGGGCTCACTTCTGCAGCAAGTGTCAGTGGGTCAGAGTCTGAGGCTCCCCAGGGAGACAGGACAGGACAGAATAGAGGGCAGCAGTGGGGCTGAAGGCTAGTGTTGAACAGAGCACCCTCCTTCTTCCTATTTTTGCCAACACCATGGACAGCGTCCTGTTTGTTCCAGGGTAATTAATGGGTGTCCATCAGAAGTTAGTAGGCTTGGCAGGAAGGACTGGAGACTTTGGGGAACATGCTCTCAGCACTGCCAACATGGCATAAGAGCAGCCACTGGCTGCACACAATTGCCCTAATGCTTCAATGACAATGTTGGTGAATTTCATAAAATTCTCACATGACACAAAATACTCTTCTTCTGAAATTTTTCTAATGATTTTAACATGGGAAAGGCATTCTTAGCTCAAAAACAGATAGTGGGCTGGTTTGGCCTGCTGGTCATAGATTTCCCACCTCTGGTGCAAGTAGCACCTGGCCCAGCTGGTCCCACAGCCCTTCACCCACTTCCATCCCTACGCGACCAGTGACCCTAGTTCCTGGTGAGAGACAGTCTGTGACATACAAAGCCATTCTCTGTGTGCCTTTCTCTTCTAAGCACATGGGGGCGTCTACACACACCAATCCACACCCAGCAGGCTCCTGTGGCCAAGAGGGCTTCTGCTCTCCTTCCCACATCTCAGTGGTATTCCCGGGGTGACGCCACTCATTCAACCCAGACAGACATATCTGTTACCTCTAATGTTTTGCACTTTCCAGAGACTAACCTGGTGCAGCTGCTTGCATGGTGTGGTCTTGGGCATTCCAGTCCTTCAATGCAGAATCTTGGAACTTCATGGCCACCCCAGGGTAGATTCTATTATTATCCAGCTGTAACAAAGGAAGCACAGAGGGAGCTCCCCAGGGACACCCCTAGTGAGGAGGGAACTAGGTTTGCACCTCAGTTAGACCCTATGCTGATCTCCAGTCTGCGATTATTCGAGGTCACAGCCCCTGAGGACAGTCCTGCCTTCAGCCTGTTGCCATGCACAGTATCCAAATGATACATGAGGAGCTTCCCTGGAGTTCTTGGTTCCCTGGTTGGGCATCCGGCAGCCTTTATCTCCACCTCCTTGTCCTTCTCCTACATCCTTATTCTGTCCCAGATCCCAATTCATTTCCAGCAGGGTAGATTTAAGTCCTTCAATTTCTTTGGGTCAAACATCTCCTCTCTTAAGCTAGTGTTGGCGCATAATGATGTAACATAAATTAGGAATCTGTGGGTACTGATGGGGATCAAGGGGGGATGAATGGGGTGAAACAGGAAAAGGTGCCCAGGATCTAAGCTCTGGAGACACTGTCACTGCTTAAATAAAGGGGCGACCCTCAGCTTAGCCCTCAGGCACTCACCAAAGAGCTGGCAAAGAAAGTTGCTTCTCCTGGATCTTCAGCCTCTCATCACAGCACTGGTCACACCTTGCGCATTCTTCTGCCCCATGGCCCCTGAGCCCCTTAACACAATTTGTCCCCCACTATGCCCAAAGCCAATGTGGAGAGACCACAGATGCCTTCTGAGTGACAGGACAGGGGGTGGGAGTTGAGGTGCCTCTTGCCCCTGGCACAGGGCACAAAGAGACTGTGTACTCTGGCTCTCTGGCATCACCAGGGAGCTGGGCCTGGGCCCCTGAAAGCCTGACAGACCTGAGCTCTGTTCAGGCTGAATAAGGTCTGAGCCCAGCTCTGCCAAGGTAACCCCAAGCCCAGAGCCCCTCTGAGGACATCTCCCTTGGCATCCCAGGGCTTGAAACTTGCCCAACCTGGCTGAGGAAAGACTTTGAGTAAACCTCCTCCTGCCTCTGAAGAAAAGGTCAGTTCAGGTGCTGACAAGAGCACCCAGAGGTGACAACAAAATGCCTGTTGCTGTCCCCAGCATTGTTTTTGTAGGCTGCAAGACTAAGACACCAAACCCAACACATCCGGGAACCTCCCAGGGTGGCTGTGGGGATTCCCCCAGGAAGAGCCCCCACCAGTAGCTCCTTCCTGGCCCCCTAGTGACCACTGGCTCCTTCCTTTTGGAGGAGGGCCCACAGGCCCCAAGAGCATATAAGGAGCAGGCGAAGGGTGCTCAAACACAAGACTCCCAGCGCAGACTCCTAGCCCGGTAAGGTTGCTGCATGGGTGGGCCGGGTCAGGTTGGATGGGCCCCCCTGGGAGTCACACAGCTTCTCCTCTTCTCCTCAGAGCCTGATCCACCAGCCAGAAGCCATGCTGCTCTTGTCGACCCTCGCCCTATTGGTGAGCCCCACCTGCTGGGCACTAAGTAAGTCAGGCCTATCTCCCTCTAACCAGGGAGTCATCCCAGCCCTTGTCACAGATGGAACCTGGTCACAGGACCTCTGTGTGCCTGCAGGGTGGGGTTCATGGCTCTGGCAGAGACCCCTGTGTGACCATGGTTTCTTCCCACCTTCTTTTCATCCATGCCCAATTAAAAAGTTGACAATTCCTTCAGCACCGCTATGTGCAGTGAGACGCATATCACGGCCATTCGGGTGGCTGTGAGTTACACTGGCAACATTGTAAGGTGAGTAGGATTGGAGTCATAGAAGTGCTATGACCCATTCACCCCACAGCTTTGAGACTCCAGGGAGCATCCACTTATAGCCTCTTCTCCCAACATCTTCAGCTCGCTCCTGGTGACTCAGGCTATTGGATTCCTAGAATCATGGAGCCACCAGCCACCACCTTTCCACTTGTCTCTGCCCAGTTATCTTCTCTCTTGGTCATAGCCCAACTTCTTCCTGACATTACTTGTAAGTCCTGCTCTTATTTCCCAGCTTGATCAAAGAGAATGGCTAGCCAGGCATGGGGCAGAAGTCTGCAATCCCAGCACCTGGGGAGGCTGAGGCAGGGGGATCACAAGTTTGAGCTCAACCTGGGCAACTTAGCAACTCAGCAAGGCCCTGTCTCAAAAATAAATAAGGATGGGGATATAACTCAGTGAGAAGACCCTAGGTTCAATCCTGGATACCAAAATAAAGAAGGGAGTTGTGATGCTTCTCCTTACCTTCTGCCTTCAGTACAAACTTAACTCAACCAAAAATGGCTTCTCAGTCTCAATATCTATGGGAAAATCAGGGGAAGGTCTCTCTGGTTAGGGTCAAAGAGGGACAGATATGAGGGTCAGAGTGGATCAACAACTGAACACGAGAAGCCAAAAGCCCAAGAGGCTTCCCTGAATGCTGTGGTCTCTCTGCTCAAAGCCTGGAATGGGTCACTGCTCTGTACCCAGGGGTCCCAGAGACGTGGGAGAGGGAGTGGGGTAGGGCTGGTGACAGCAAGGGAGACAGAGCGTGTGCAGGGTGAGGTTGGGCAGGGCAGGTCCTGCAACTGCACCAAGGTGGAAAGGACACAGGTGAGCCTGGCAGGGCGGGGCTGTGGAAGGCCCCTGCTCTGTGGGCCCCTGGCCTGCTCTCCTAAGAGTGACCCAGGTTGAGGATGCCCAGCAGCCAGCCCTCCTGAAGGCTGAGATGGCTGCTTTGCACATAAAGAAACAGAGTCTTGGAGAGGCTGGCCAATGAGATTAAGACTACCAAAGCTGAAAGTGCAGAGCAAGATGGGTCTAAGACCCAGAGGGCCTGGGTGCCAGGAGACAGGAAGCACTGAATCCTTCCAAACTTTGCCTCTCTCCCAGTCTCCAGGTAAAACTGGGAAAATACTGGGGTGCTGTCCATGGCCATAAAGGAGGGACTGTCACGGAATTCAACCTGGACGATGATGAATACTTCACTGAGGTCCATGGCTCCAGGAAAGCCAACTTGCGGTCCTTGATCCTGTGCACCAGCAAGAATCGCTGTGCCGCGTTTGGGAAGAATGATGGCCAGCAATTCTTTGCCTTCCCCCCAGAGGCAAGCCAGGTGCTCAAAGGCATCAGTGGTGTAGTCGGGCCCATTGGCTTACAGAAGCTTGACTGGAAATGGGGTGATATACAAACTAAACCAACCACCGCACCAGTTAACCCAGCCACTGCACAGACAAAAAAATGATCTGGCTGGGTCCTCAGGCTGGGCCACAGGCATGCTCACTGAGGCTGTCTGGGTAGGGATGTGCTGACAATGCTGGGGTGACCAAGTTGGGATTCTGAATCCACCAATAATTAAAGCTTCTGCAGAAACAGTGTCCAGGAGTGGTCCTTGGGTCTGAGGGTCTAGAGCCCCTTGGGGCTGGAGTCCAGGGAACCCCAATCCGAGGTGGGCAGAGGCGACTCTGCTAAGATTTGGGACCTGCCCATAAAGACCCTGAGCCAACCCCACGCTCTGAGGAGTCAGACTCCAAGGCCACCACTGCCCTTGTGCCCTCTCCAGACCCCTTCAGCTGGTCTCCAGCAGCCAGGCTCAGCTCTGGGCTCCTCTGAGTGCTTGAGAAGAGGACTTGGGGGAGCCATTCAGATTCGTTCATGCAGCAAAAATTTGCCAAGCCCTTGTTCCCACCAGGCTCCCCTAGGCACTGGGAATAAAGTAGGGGCCAAGTATCCAGCCAAGGAGCTGGCTGCCCTGGGATGCACAGATGTACAAGCAGATAGCTGCAGTTTGTTGTGGCACCTTCACTGATGGGGGCTCATGCAGCGTGTTGTGCGTGGGCATCTACTCACAGGTGAGGTGGCGGGAGTGTGCTTCAGGGGGGTCTTCCTGGAGGAGGAAGCACCAGAGCAAGTCCTAAAGGATGAGGGAGAATTGCCCAAATAGAGACAGAGATGGAAGGCAAAAGCAAGAGCCCAAGAAAAGCTGGGTGTGGTGGTGCATGCCTGTAGACTCAGCTCTTTGGGAGGCTGAGGCAGGAGGATTACAAATTCAGGTTGCACCTAGGCAATTTAGGGAGACCCTGTCTCAAAATAAGAAATAATAAAAGGGCTGGGGATGTAGCTCAGTGTGAATGCCCTAGGTTCAACCACTAGTACTGAGAGAGAGAGAACAGAAAACAAGGGTCTATTCTGTCCTCTGCTCACAACAGTCTAAGGATGGGACTACTGTTGTTCATTTGCAAAATGAGAAAACTGAGGCACCAAGGGTGAAATAATTTGTCCTGGGTCACACAGCAGTAAATGGCAGAGTTGGGGTTTGGCTGCAAAGTTTGGGCCCCGAATCCCAGACCAAAGCAAAGAGTTCACAAACACTCCTTATATCTCTGCATGGAGACACCTGGACATTTTTCTCTTCTCCTTTCTATTTTGGTTTTTATTTAATTTTAAATGCTCCTTGAGTAACCATGGGTCTGTGGACAAAACTCCAGGAATCCATGAACTGGGATGGAAAACAATTCTTCTTTATTTGTATTGTCCTCTGTGGAAACTTTGTTTCCCTTGGTATGAATGTGACCTCACATACCTCACAAACACCTGTCAATTTGCCACACATTACAGTTGTCACAGGCCCCTTGAAATGTACACTCACCACAACTTCAAAATTATGGATATCATCAGATTTGCCATCGAAGGTGTTAATAATCAAAGCTCAGGTATTTGTGGAAAGACACTTAAGAAAACATTTGGGCCTGGCATGGTGGCCCATGCCAGGAAGCCCAGCACTTTGGGAGGCTGAGGCAGGATTGTGAATTCCAGGACACCCTGGGCTACAGAGCAAGAGACCCCAGGGCCAGGGATTTAGCTCAGTGGTTCTGGCACCTGCCTCGAAAGCACAAGGTCCCTAGTTTGATCCCCGGTACTGAAAAAAAAAAAGATCCAGAGAGCAAGAGACCCTGTCTCAGATGAAGCAAAAAGAAAAGAAAGCATTTTGGTTAAGTTTGGTGTAGTTCCCTTTTTTTCTTGGCAGAGGACAAGCCACTGGGGTTGGTGGGGGCTTCCCATCCGCCCTTCCCAGTTCCTCCACCATGCTGGGCAGCTAGCTCTGTCACTTGGTTTATTTCTTATGCCTACCTTGCTAAAAGGGATATTTGTTTTCAGTACTAAGGGGAATCCAGACTTAGGCAGGCAGCTTCGGTGGTGAAGGGCAACAGCATGACCACTCTGCCTTCCAATGCCTCCAGGAGTGGCAATATGTTTGGTTTTTTTGTTTTTGAGATAGGGTCTCACTATGCAGTTCAGGCTGGCCTTGAACCCACTACAGAGCCCAGACTGGCCTCAAACTCAAGGTGATCTTCCTGTCTCAGCCTCCCTAGTGTTGGGATTACAGGCATGCACCACCATGCCTAGCTCAGGGGTGGCAATATGAATATTCACAAATGGGACAGCATCGACTTTAAAAAGTGACAGCTTTTACCCAGTGTAGGAGAGCAGAGGGGAGAGGAGCCACAGGCACCGGCTGCTGAAGGCTGGACTTCAGGACTCATGACACAGCAGGTCTCTTGCCCCGCAGTGCCTCCATGCCGGCAGCTCTGGGACTCCTCCATGGTTCCTGCAGCTCACCCTGAGCACCCCACCCGCCACCCCGCGCGCGCCGCCGAGCCCTGCGGAAATGGTATTGCCTGAGATACTGCGCTTGCAGTCCAGCCCCACTGCAGTGGGAGAGGCAGTCCTGGTGCGGTCCACAGCTTAGCGCTGTGGGCAAAAACAGGGAAGAGATCTTGAGGTCGCCCAAGCTCCACCCCCCCCCATAACTGGCGATTGAGAGCCTTCACACTGTAGCATATCTCCAGCCCTTTAAAATGTTGTGGGTTTAAACCAGGTGTGGTGGCCCATGTCCGTGACCCCAGCACTCAGGAGGCTGAGACAGGAAGATCACTGTGAGTTCAGGGCCAGCCTGGGCTACATAGTGAGTTCAAGGCCAGCCTGAACTACATAGTGAAAACAACATCAACATCAACAACAAAAATGTTGTGGGTTTTGTTTTTAATTTTGAGACAGGGTCTCACTAAGTCACTAAGTGCCTAGGCTGGGCTCAGCTTTGCCATCCTGCTGCCTCCCAAAGTGTTGGGACTTTAGGTGTGTGCAGCACTCCAGGCTCCCAGTCCCCCAGTCTGCTTCTCTTGGTGGCAAAGGACCACGCAGGAACACATTGGTGCAGAGACTTTATTCAATTAGGGGTTTCAGGGCCGCTGTGGCCTTGTGGGATCCAGCCCAGGGCCCCTCCAGAATCTAGCCCAGGGCCATCTGGTCTCTCAGGCATGTCTGGGCATCTGGAAGGGGAAGCCCAGTGGGAAGGGAAGGCCCATGCCAGAGACCTTCCTCAGGCCTGCGGTCGGCTCTTGAGGCGCCACAGTGAGTGCCTGGGAGGACATCTTCTGGGGGGCGAACCCCCACTTGAAGCCGATTCCCGAGAGGCAGAAGAACCAGTGCTGTCCATTGACAGTCAGGAGCTGCTGGCCAGGGGAGGGAGGGTGCGCGCTGAACCTCATGCCGGCCGCGCTCCCGAAGCTCGCCTGGCGCCCCCTGCTGGTGGTCCAGCGCAGGTGCCAGATGCAGGCGCGCGAGCTGCCGTCCACAGCGGTCACGTGCTCGCCCTCCTGCAGCAAGAACTCCTGCGCGTGCCCGCCGGGAGCCCCGTAGCGCGGGGTCCAGTGGTCGCCGAACCGCAGCTGGATGCTGGGGAGAGGTGGAGTCACCTTGGCAACCCTGCGCTCTGGGCCGGCCACGCCCCCTCCTCTTCTGAAGGCGCACTTGGACTAGCCCTCCTCCTACCCTACCCAGAGATGGACCTTGACCCAGGCTGCGACCACCGTTAGGCTGTGCTTTGTTTGATGATATCACATGTGAGTAAGGTGTCACTGTGTTCCGCCGAGGGGCCAAGCTGAGGTCTTGGAGCGGAAGAACGGTGGCCCTGAAGTCTCCAGGACTATTCCTAATCCTAGCTTTTTCCTGCTGGTGCATGCTAAGATACATCCCACGTAGGACTATGGGGTAAGAAGCAAGGCTGCCAGTTTGATTTGAATCTCACATAAACAATGAATAATGTTTTTAGGGTAACTGTTTCCCAAGCATTGGATTTTTAAAGTACAACTATGTTGGGCCAGGGATTTAGCTGGGCCGGGGATTTAGCTCAGTGGTTTTGCCGCCTGCTGCACAAGCCCAAGGACGCGAGTTCGATCCCTGGTACCCCCCAAAAATAAAATAAAAATAAAGTACAACTATGTTGCAGATATTGATTTTTTTGTTTGTTTGTTGTGGTATTTTGGGGCAGGGTCTTGCTATGTAGTCCAGGCTGCCCTTGAATTCACTATGTAGCCAGGCTGAACTAGAACTTGTGGCGATCTTCCTGCCTCAGCCTCTTGAGTGCTGGGATTACAGGAGTTTACCATCATGCCTCGCTGACAAATACTGAATTTTAGGGCCGAGGATTTAGCTCAGTGGTTCCACTGCCTGCCTCGCAAGCACAAGGACCGAGTTTGATCCCCAGTGCCAAAAAAAAAAAACCCCAAACAAAAACAAATACTGAATTTTAAAAGAGTAAGTATATCTTAAATATTGCACAGGATACACTAAAAAGTTCACTGACATTCATTTGAACTGGGTGTTTTGTTTTGTTCCTAAACTTGACTACCCTAACCCAAGAGACTAGGGTGTTTTGGGAGAATGATAGGTCCCCAGAGGCAGACACTGGTGGGTACAGGCAAGCCTGGGCCTGCTGGAGAGACTGGCCCTTCTTGGTATTGTGAAGGACCAGTGAGGGGAGACAGAGTTGTGGATTCTAAAATCAGGTGAGACTGGGAGGTCTTTGCAGCCTGTATTCATATGAATGATTTCGGTTACTTACTACCAAAGGACCCTAAGAACTCCAGAACTACCTGGAAGAGGGATCTGATGAGCCATCTTGATCCTTTCTGAACCCGAAGTCCCTTTCTAGCTGCCTAACCGAGGACTGCACCACCCTATCCAAGGTCAGGAAGCTGAGAAAGAGGGAGTTGAGGACCCAAGGACAGCACCCCCCCCAGGGGATCCAGCGGGGAAAACAGAAGGAACAGAAACAGGCACAAGCAGGGTCTTGGGGGAGCCCAGGAACCAGAGGTTACCCCTTGATGAGACCCAGGATCCCCACGAAGACTCGGATGCCCTGGATCTCACCTAACTCTTCGCCCTTGATATAGAAGTAGGACCCAAAGCCAGGGCCCTGTATTTCTGGGGAGAGAGGAGGAGGAAGGTGATCACAGTAATGCACTCAGGACAGCCGCATCAGGGTCCCATTTCCCACCCGACAGTCGTGCCTAGGACAGGACAGGGAGGCCAGGGCCAGGCAGATGGGACTCACCCTGGGCGCTGCAGGGAAGACTGAAGAGAAGAGCCACGGTGAGGAATAGCAGCATGGCTCTTGGGGCACAGGCTTGGTGGTCAGGGGCCACACCCAGGTCAGGAGCAAGATGAGGCTCTGGGGAGGAGACTTCAGCTGTGAGGGGTCTTGAGACTTCCGGAGGTGGGGCAAGAGGACATTTGGGAACCTTTCCCTACAGGCCTCCAGGGCTTAAGAACTCTAAACCGAGCCTAGTAGCCCATGCCTGTAATTCCAGCACTCTAGGAGACTGAGGCAGGAGGATCACAGGTTCAAGGGCAGCTTGGGCTACATAGTGAGACCCTGTCTCAAAACCAAAACAAAATAAAACCAAACAAGCAAATGAAAAAGAGCCCAGAGCTGGTTTCAAAGGTGTGCTTGCAACCTACGAAGTTGCTCAAAAGGGCCCTATGCCTGCTGCAATGCTCCAATGTCACCATCCTAAAATCCTTCATAAGGTTTGATCAAGGAGCCCTCAATGTCCTTTTATACTGGATCCCACAAAGTTTGCAGCCAGTCCTGGGAGAGACCCACTCCATCCCTGCTCCCAGATCCAGTTTCCAGATGTGTCACCAGATGCCCCTTCTTCCCCTCCTGCCTCTCCACCCAATACAGTGCTAGGATCCCTCCCTCCCTACCTGTGCTGTGCAGTCGGAGCCCCTCAGCCCGCCTCTTTATACCCAGGCAATGCTCACCTACAGCCACCTCCTGTGGGACCTCCAGGGCTCCACCCTTGGCAGGAAGCCTTGTAGGGCTCCGAAATTCTATCCAGGGTGTCCTGGATACTGTTTGTGTTCCTGTCCACAGCCCCTGGACAAATGAGCCCCACAGCACAGGCCACGCTCTGTGAGTCTGGGTCCCCCCATGAGCTCCTCTGAGACACAGGAAGGTCTCAGAGCTGGTCACTCTCAGCGATGCAAACCAGCCCAGGGAAAGCAGCCAGGGGCCAGTGATTGTTCTGGGCTCCTGAGATGTGCAGGGCACAGGGGAGGGAGCAAGCAGACAGGTCCTGCCTGGGTGACCTCACACAAAAGTCAGTGGCAGAGTAGGTGGCCAGCCTTGGAGGGTATGCAGGACAGGTCCCCATCTTCCTCACGTGGTTGTACTTCCCTGCTTAAAGGTCTCCCCCACACAACCTGAAGGGCATGGGTAGAGTACTTACCAGGCTAGAGCTCCTGACATGACACATATCCTCAATCCTGGAGGCCACCCAGGAGGCTGGCTCCACTACAGTTCTCATTTTCCAGCCAAAGTCAGTAAGACAGGTTTAGCACTTTACCTAAGTTTACAGGGGGAGTTGTGGCCCAGGCCAGCTTCCAGCTCGGGGTGTCTAACTCCTCTCCTATACCCAGAGCCCCTGAACCACAGAAATGCCAGCCAGGGGCCATCTACTGCCCTGCTCAGGTGTCCCCTGGGATTCCCACTCAGTATCCCTTACCCTTTCCCTCCTGTTGCTCATGTACAGCACAGCCCTGGACACAGAGTGGTCCAAAGTCTGCCTGTAGGGCCATCAAATCTGCCCAGGGGCCCCACAGAGAGGACTTGCCATCATCTGCTTGTCCCCAGAGCCCAGCAACATCCTGGGAGAGGAGAAAGGCTTCAAACCCTGGGAGGAGCTCCCTCTGCCCAAAGCCCGAGAGCAGCTTCCTGTGAGCTGTGGAAGGGGTGTGGGTGAGGAGACAGAGTAGAAGGCTGAATAATGGAGCTGCCAGCCCACTAAGCCCTCAACAAACAGCAACCTCACTGGAAAGGGCACTCAGATGAGCAGACAAAAGACCTACTTCTCTTTGAAAGAAGTAAAAGCCCATTTTATTCATGGTCAGGGATCACTATAGGGATAGGGAAGTGGGCAGAATCCTGGACCCTTACCTGTTGCCCATTAAAAATATGATTTATATTTTCTCCTGGAATAGCCAGGGACTTAAAAGCCACATTTGCTATAAACCATAATCCCAGAGAGATTAGAGACCAGCAACAAGGAGAAGGAGGGAAACTCTGGTAAAATAACATATGGCCTGGTGTGGTGGGTGCAAACCCCCGCAGACCCCAGACTCTGTTCTGACACCCACCAGACTCCTATGGCAAGAGTGGGAGTGGAGGGTGTTTGGCAGGCTTATTGACAGCTAGTTTGAGTTCTTGTTGTAGTAATTATGGAAATTAAACTAAGGTACAACTTTATAGAACAAAGCTTTCGTTGCAAAATTAGGGGGAAGAGAGGAAAGGGATTCATCTTAGGTAGCTGGAGAGGGCACATTCTGATGCAGGGGTTCAGACTAACTCACCCAAAAAGGTAGGAGGCCAGCTTTTAAGGATTAGCTCATAAGCTGGGGGTCTCGTTGATTGTTATCTCAGTCCTGGTGTCATAGTTCTAGAATCTTTATGGCTGGGAAATTGTTTTGTCCCCAAGTAATTGCAAGTTGAGGACGTAGCTGAAGACTTCTCAGGCATAGTTGAATGTCCTTGGAAATTACCCATCCTGGTGTCTTCAATCATGAAGGGGGTGAGATTATGGAAATTCAGGGCTAATCAACAGTATTTGCCACCTTTTAGACAGACACTCCCTAAATGATTGGCATATCTATATGTAAAACTGAGAAGAGATTTGACCCAAGTTTTATGGCAACAAAGGATACAAAATCAAGTTCAAACTTTGTTCTGCTTTTAATTAAGCAATCCAACACCCAGTTTAATTGGGTCGGATCCAGACACAGGTCTGGGCATGTGGTGAGGAAACAGGAGCTAAAAACTGGGGGCTGCCCTATTTTTTAAAATTTTGAGACAGAGTCTTCCTAAGTCACTAAGTTGCCTAGGTCTGTCTCCAACTTGTGGTCCTCCTGCCTCAGCCTCCTGGAGTGCTGAGATTATATGTGTATGGCTCCACACCTGACTAAAAAAAGTGTTTTTTTTGGTTTGGTTTGGTTTTTTGCTGGTACTAGAGATTGAATAGGTTGAATGATACATAATACCTCTGGGAAAATAAAGCCAAGAACACATCACTGGAAAATATAACCTAAGTAAGGAGATCCTCATACCAACAATGAATACTTTTTACTCTATTTGACCTCAACCCTTAGCATGCATGCACACACACATAGCACACACACAGGAACATGAACAAACAAGAAAACAAAATGCCTCCAAAGACTCCAACTCTCCCAAAGCAGACTCGAGGGACAGTGACGGAAAGAAAAGCAAACAAGGGATGACTGAGCTGTACAAAATGATTAAAGAGGAAGTAAGGAAACTCAGTGAGTTCACAGAGGAGATAACCCAACAGATAGAGCAACCATCATACAAACTGACTAATGTGCTTATGGGAGAAACAGATTAAAAATTGGAAGAGCTGACCAAAATGGTTCAAAATATAAACAAGTTTACCAAAGAAATAGATTCCACAAAAAGGTGCCAAACAGAAATTCCAGAGGTAATTCTATAGAATGTGTAAAGAGAAGATAGGGTTTCAGAAATTGAGGATAAAATGAAAATACATGGTGATTTACTCAGAGAAAGCCTAAAAAAGAAAAGAGCAAGAAAAACTCACCCAACAGCTACTAGATGATGCTAAAAACACTAACCTACTAACCTACTAACATTGTAGTTAGAAATTAGAAGACCTCACACATGGAATAAAAAACTGTTTACAGAAATAGTAGCAGACTGGGAAAGAACTCAACAAACAGGTAAGTAAGGCTTATAGAATGCCAAATAACTACAATGAAAAAGAAAAAAAAGAAGCTCCTCACAGCACATCATAGACAAAATCCAAGATGTCCAAGAAAAAGACAGAATCTTAAAAGCTGTCATCAAAAAGAAAAACCCCACCAAAAAAATTTATAAACATAAACCCATTAAGATTAGATCAGACTTTTCAACACAAATGGAGTGAAGTGTTTTAAGCCCTAGAAGAAAACTACTTCTAACCCAGACTAAGATATCCTGCAAAACTATCTTTCAAAACTGATGGAGAAGGGCCAGGGATTTAGCTCAGTGGTGCCACCGCCTGCCTCACAAGCACAAGGTCCTGAGTTTGATCCCTGGTACCAAAAAAAAAAAAAAAATTGATGGAGAAATAAAGACATTTCAAGGCAAAGTAAGAGATACATGAACACCAAACCAGCACTCCAAAAAGTACTCAAGAATATCCTAGACAGAGACAATAAAGCTAACAAAGCCAAAAAGTCAGATGGAATGAATATATCAAGCAAGGAGAGCATTTAAACGAAAAGGGAAAAATAAATGAGTCAACAACAACAAAAAATACAATAACAGGAATGTGTCTATACCTTTAAGTAATAACTCTCAATACAATTGGCCTCAGCTCCCTAATTAAAAGACACAGATTGGCAGACTGGATCAGAAAACAGAACCTAATGATAGGTTGCATTCAAGAAATGCATCCAATCCAAAAAGAGATTCATAGACTAAAAATCAAAGGATAGAAAAACTATTCCATGCACCAGCACTCCAAAAGCAAGCAGGAGTAAAAATTATATTCTCAGACAAAGAAAACTTCAAGCTAAAACTAATCAGAAGAAGCAAAGAAGGTCACTATATATTAGTTAAGGGAACAATTCAACACAAAGAAATAATAATGCACAGAACAATGGTACACCTAACTTCACAAAACAAACACTACTGGTCATGAAAGATCAAATAAACACCAATATAATTTTAGTGGATGACCTTAACACCCCACCCCAAATAGATCAGATAAACAATAAAGTAACAAAGAAATATCAAAGCTAAACCACACCTTTGAACAAGTGGATCTAGTAGATATTTATGAGCCAGGCATGGTGGTGCACACCTGTAGTCCCAGCACTCAGGAAGCTAAGGCTGGAGGATCACCACAAGTTTAAGGCCAGCCTGGGCTGCATAGTGTGTTCAAGGCCAACCTGAACTGATAGCAAATCTCTCTCTCTCTCTCTCTCTCTCTCTCTCTCTCTCTCAATCTACCCTACTACAATGGAATATACATTCTTCTCAGCAGCACACACAATATTCTCCAAAATAGACCACATACCAGTCTATCAAGGCTGCTTAAATAAATACAAAAGAATTAAAACCATCCCATGTATACTATTAGCTCATAGTACATTAAACTAGAAATCAATTGCAAAAGAAACCACAGAAATTCTACAAACACCTAGACATCAAACAATACACTCCTTAACACTCAATGGTTCATAGAAGAAATAAAGGAAGAAATTAAACAATTCCTTGATCAAATGATATTACCGGTAAAACATACCAGAGCATAGGGGACACAATGAAAACAGTCCTAAAAGGGAAATTTATTGCTGTGAATGCTCACAGTAGAAAAATAGAGCAAGCTCAGGCTGGGCATGGTGGCACATGCTTATAATCCCTGAATTGAAAAGCTGAGGCAGGAGGATTACTGTGAGTTCAAGGCCAGCCTGAACTACATAGCAAGACCTTATCTCCAAAAGAAAAAACAAAATAAAAAAAACAGACAAACTGAAAAACAGAGTAAGCTCAAATAATTTTTGTTTGTTTGTTTTTTGAGGCAGGGTCTCCCTTTGTAGTTCAGGCTGGCCCTGAACTCACTATGTAGCCCAGGCTGGCCTCAAATTCACAGTAATCATCCTGCATTAGCCTCCTGAGTGCTGGAACTACAGGCATATGCCACCATACCTGGCTCTTAAATAATTTAATGATGCACCTCAAGAAACTAGAAGAACAAGAACAGTCTAAATCCAACCCTAGTACAAAAAGGGAAATCACGAAGATCAGAGTAGAAATTAAGGAAATTGAAACTAAAACAAAATAAAAGCAAAACAAAAAACCAAAGAATCAATGCACTGAAGAACTTGTTCATTGAAAGAATAAATAAAATAGACAAGCCTAGCCAAACTCACCAAAAGAAGGAAAATAAAGATTCACAGTTAGAGATGAAAAAGGCAAAATCTAGAAGATCACTAGTAACTACTTTTACAAATTGTATGCCAAAAAATTGAGAATCTTGAATAGACAGGTTCCTAGACACATATGAATTACCAAAACTGAACTGAGGAGATATAAAAACTCTGAACAACCCAATAAGACAATAAAATTGATGGGGGCGGGGATTGAGCTCAGTGGTTTCGCCGCCTGCTGCGCAAAAAAAAAGACAATAAAATTGAGGCAATAATAAAAAGCCTACCAACTAAGAAAAGCCCAGGACCCAGTAGATTCACTCACTGAATTCTACAAGACCTTCAGGGAGTATATAACACCAATAGTCCTCAAGCTCTTTAGTGAAATTAAAAGGTAAGGAGTACTTCCAAATTCACTCGTGAAAGCTAGCATTATTCTAATTCCAAAACTCAATTAAAAAAATAGAAATATTGCTACTATCTGAACTTAATGGCATAAAGCTCCTTCAATGATTGGACTATGAACATTTTAAAAGTTTGCAAAATAGGAAAAGAAGTTTTGGCAGGGGGCAAGAGAAACAATGGAAACTGAAATAAAAACTTCTGTGGTGGGCTTGGTGGCACACACCTGTGACCCCAGCACTTCGGAGGCTGACATGGGAGGATTTCCCTGAGTTTGAGGCTGGCCTGGGGTACAAAGTGAGTTCAAAGCTAGCCTCCTACATAGTGAGACCCTGTCTCAGAAAAAAAAAGAAGCGAAAGAGAAAGAAATGGAAACTTCTATGAGATATCATTTATTCTTTTCAAATACAAAGCCATGTGTATATAATGCAGAAACTTTAGACAAGATGATGGCTAATTTTTTAAAAGTCCCATTACCCAGAGATATACATCATTGCACACATCTACCTCCAGTATTGTGTTGTGTTGTGTTGTATTGTATTTTGGTACTGGGGATTGAACCCAGGGCCTTTGCACTAAGCTACAACCCCAGCCCCCCCCCCCTTTTTTGAGACAGAGCCTATTTTTTGTTTTTGTGTTTGTTGCTGCTTTTGTTTTTGAGATAGGGTCTCCCTATGTAGTTCACAATAGCCTTGAACTCACTATGTAGCCCAGGCTGGTCTGGAACTTGAAGCAATCCTCCTGCCTCAGCCTCCCGAGTGCTGGGATTACAGGTGTGTACCACCATGCCTGGCTTCCAGTTTTTTAAAATGCGTTTTAGGCATGTATAATTAGGACATCAGGACATTCATGGTAGTTTCAGGAAGAAAGAGTTTTCCTGAGTACAGGAGGAGAAGACCATAAAGAAACCTTGTCCAAGGCAATTTGTAAAATACCAGAAGAGACAAGAGGAGCAGACCTGGGTGTTTCCATGTGTGAAGCCAAGAATCAGCTGAGACAACACTGAGAAATCCTGTGATGGAAAGAGAGGTTCCCAAGTGATGCTTTTGGAAACTGGTT